ACAGCCCTCGTCTTAATGATATCATCAAGAAAGGATCTTGGACCCGTTTGGGCTCCCTTAACAGTGCAATTTTTGTGGCAACTAACTATGAGTTCCCTTACTCGTCATGAGAACAATGTGATGCGTCAAAAGGCGGGTGAAGTGGCGATAAGACCAACGGCGCGCCGTCGCGGTTAGGCAGCGGTAGTTCCGGAAGGGGCGATAGAAAAATATGTGAGTGACATCTCGGAGGGTCGTTTGTCGGGCATAAGAAAGCTATCGGCGGCGGTGCGTTCGCTGACCCCGGCCGGACGTCACGCCTCAGAGAAGACGAGTGCAGCTTAGAACGGCGACCGCGCCGTCTGTCTTCTATGACTGCGAGGCTAGATAGACCTTCGAATCGCTATCTTTACTGTTGTCGCATATTGTGCATCTGACTAACCCCCTACCTAATATATACCTATTCCTAAAGCAGTCTTCGATACTTAATACACCATTGTCCGAGACCAAGAGTGGAGGATATGAATAGGAGGATGATGTAGACTGTCGCAGAGTAGCTGCTCTAATCTTGCACCCTGTGCAGTGTACGCGCGTATTTGTGATCGGATATCAGAGTAATACTACGTGATGGAAGACATATGTGACTTAGCCATTGCATATTTTCAAGAAGAAGTTGTGAACAGATTCGTAAAATAAAGTTATAAATAAATTTATTGAAAAACCCAGAGGAGTGGCTATCGAGTGAGTAGGTACCCACCTTTTTTTTTTCAAATTAAGTTTCGGTTAGTAGAAACGCAAAATATAATATTAACAGCATTTACATTTATCATCTAAGTAAGTGACAATGAAAAAAAGAACTGAAGTACTATTTTTCAAAAAAGCTTTTGGATCAATTATTATATTTCATTAAGCATTTTTTACGCTTATGGATATATATATACCAAAAAGTTTTCAAATTATTTATGTAGTTATACTACTATACCTATACTTATTATATAGACTTAATGATTAATGCTATTTAAATAACTTTAAAAACCTTTTTCTAGATAAAAACTCTAGACACTGATACACATATTATATTTATACGTTGCTCACTTTTTAATTTAGCAGTTGGGATTAAATTCGCTCCATACTTCCTGTTAAGTGTTGCCGCATTCAAAAATAATATCCTTATCTAGTATTAAATATAGTTATACAGTCGACATTGCAAGATTACAGATTTTATGTTTTAGTTTGAATAATTTCAATTTAATAGCAACATAAATACCATGTTTATACATGTTGAGAAACATAATATTAAATATAAAAGAAATTTATAATATACTAGTTACTAAATAGGTATTGACATTACTACTTATAAATTATCTACTATTTATTGAAAGTGCAATAACTACAAATTTTGAAATATTAATAGTTTAAACTAAACCAAAACATTAATGTATGGTATTTCAGTTTTTGATTAACGTGGTAGGTTTGTTACCGGATCAATACTTACTTGTGTACTTAGTATCTTTGTATTTTTGTATTCTCTAAGTATTGTCAGACTATAAAATTGCCATGGTATTGTCAGCACTTAAAACTGTTCTAGCTAGGTATAATTAAATATTATATAATATTACTTTTTTTAGTTAGGTATACTTTTTACTTAGTGGGTTATTCAATTTTTAGTAAAAAGTTGTGATTTATTAATAAAACCTGATATACCTAAAAAAATGCTTATTGTTATGGGGATGACTTCGTTGTCTAAACGTTTATGATCTATTTAAATACATATACTAAAGATCACCTGGTTAATAATTCATTTGCATTAGAATTGATTTGTGAAGTTTTACTTGAACTTTCATTGTATACATTTTCTGTACTATGACAGGTCAATATATATTTCGTTAACATATACAAACGTGAACGTGTAAATTTATTACCATTTTCATATTTGTATATTTTTAGCAATTGTTAAATTTCTAATCTTCTACATATTTACTTCAAGTGTTTCAAATTTCATGAATAAATAGGGGTACAAAGAATTACCTTTACGTATGAATTAATATTCATAGGGCTATATAAATTTGATTCAAACGTGTAACACTGTCTTGCATATTGGGATTAGGTAGGCTTGAGGGTAACTTGATTAAAATTTAGTAAAGGCACATAATATGTTACTTTTTATTGTTTAACTAGCTGACCTGCGCAACTTCGTCTGCGTCTCTCAATAGTAATAAATTTTCTCCGTTTTTGAAACATTCTTCATTGGTGCTCCGCTCCTATTGGTCTTAGCGTGATGATATATAGCCTATAGCCTTCCTCGATAAATGGGCTATCTAACACTGAAAGAATTTTTCAAATCGGACCAGTAGTTCCTGAGATTATCGCGTTCAAACAAACAAACAAACAACCAAACAAACAAACTCTTCAGCTTTATAATATTAGTATAGATATTAAGTTTTGTTATGTGTCTCTTGCGCGACGAATGATATAGGTATGTGTAAGTAAATTTTAGACATATGTTTGAAAAGAAATGAATTTTATCAAAAATTTAAAGTGGGAGCAAGATTAGATAGGCTCAGCCCTACGAGCTGATAACGACACCGGATTCCAGCACGATTTACACACTTTACACATACACACACAAGTACTTAGAAAGAAAATATAATGTAATGTGATACATATATGTTTAGGTATAGGTATTTATTCTAAATATTCAGCATAGTAAGAAAAAAGAGTAAAATAAAAAAACTAATTAGTGTCCTATATTATATAATAATAAATGCCAAACATTTTATTATTATTTTAATTTGTTATCTACCTACTTGGCATAACAAAATTGAATTTTTAAATACATAGTTAGATAAAATCAGTACCGTGGTTTAGCACTTGATCCTAAATTGTTAATAAATAGAAACCTTATTTACCAAAATAATATTAAAATAACGAAAATGTAGATATTTCATCTCATGCGGTAGAAACTTTTTATTTTACTAACATTTTAAGCCTATTTGTAATAGAAAAATAATGAAGTTCTATATATTTCATTAATTTAATGGTTTTCAAAATTATCAAAAGTATTTAAATCAAGAAATAACCAGATATTTAATTGTTTAACGTTATATTAAATGAATAATCTGTCTGTTAGAAGTAGGTAAGTAGAGTTCTAGAGACGAAGAGCGTGGCCTGAGCACTGACTCATGCGCACGCTTACCGCTGCGTATGGCAACACTAGCACGCACTTCCGGCGCATTTTTTTGTTTTCTACCCGCAGTACAACTCAGCGCCTATTAGGAATTATCAAAAACTTTAACATTTTACTATAATTTTCATGGAATAAAGCCATTTTAATTTGCCCCAGTAAAGCCCGTTTGGGTATACAGGAGTTAATTAGGTGTTTTGTATTTTTTTAATATAATTTAATTTTATTATTGATTTCTAGTCTTAATTATGTTAAATCTGTAAATTTAAAATATAAATATTTAAAAAATATTACAAAATAATATATTAATAATTTTTAAAGACAATTTTCTGGTATTTTTCCAAGAAGTACTGCACTGGCTGTATCATATAATCCTTTTTATTTCAACTGTATTATTTTTATATATTATAATAACTAGAAAATTCAGTACCTTTTTTATCATAGATTTATGTATAAAAAACTAACTATTATTTTTGCCTGAAATTTATTTTAGTAGTTTTAACAATATGTTCACGCATTATCCAATGTTCAGTTCTATCCAGTATTATTATTTTTCTTAAAAATGTTGCTTAATATAAAAAGTGACTATAACAGTAATTAAAGAAATTACTTATATGCACAATATTTGGTATACAGTCATGTCCATGGGATGAAATCGACTATTGAGAAACTTTCAAGTGTAGGTTGAAAAAAATGTAGATTTGCATTTATATTACGAAAAAGATATGTATTATTGCACCAAAAATAATATTTGGTGGTCAAATAAGTTAGGTTAGTATTTTTTTAGGTTGGTTTATCTTTAAATATAATTATTTATATTAGTATAATCTACAAATATTAAATAGTTTGTAAAGTCTGTAATTAAATAATTCAGTAGTGCAAAAATCTAATCTGTTGTGTTAGATAAATAATAATACTATAATAATAATAATATTGGTTCAAAATGTTGCTTAATAGATATTATATTCACTGGGTTAATTTAGCTCCTCCAACAACAGCTACTGTACAGAATGTAGGTAGGTATTCTTTGAAATATATTTTAAATGTGATTTAAATATAAATTTAACAATTAATTGATGATTAGGCTGGAAATATATTTCTCTACGTATTCTCTATAAAAAACAACCAACAACATTTTTTAGCCAATATTAATTTTCTTACTGAACTTCATCAACGAACCTATAAATGACACAGATGTTTATGTACCTACTCTGTGTCATAATAATAAGTAGATACATATGTATAAATTTATCCAGTTTCAAATACTAATATATAAATCCTATCCTATGAGTTCTCTAGTATTTGGAACATTTACCTCCAGTTATAATTGTAATTATTAATTTCATGAATGTGTCGGTCCATAACAAGTATACTTAGTATTTCAACATGTGTATAATACATGTATATTATACACATGTTGAAATATATATAACTAAGTGCCTATAGATAATACACAGACAGATATTATGTTTGACGAAAAACGGAATAAACTAATCAAAATAAGTGTTTTGTGTCAAACATTTCTATTTAGGTATTTCATTATCTAAATGTATGCATACAAGTATGTTAATTTAAGGGTCTTGTAAAAAATATACTATCCATATATTTTATATGAAATATTTTTAATTATGAATGATTGGAAGCAAATGCAAGTCTTGTTTCATAATGTGAGTGGTTTGCTAAGTAAAGAGTATTTGGTGGTAAAATTTGGTGCATAGTTGTGTAGTTGCGGCCATTGTCGTCGCAGCGTGGTGTGGTGTCTGGCGCTAGGGGCCACGTGGCACGCGGGTGCGCCTCAGCCACGGTGACGGTGCATGTCAGTTTTCTGGAAAAATTGTCAAATGTAGCACACCGGCGGCGGCGCGGCGGCAGCGAGCAATTTGCGAGGAACGCGCGCGTGTGTGGTGCTCGTCGCGACGCGATCACCGTGCGCGCTCGTGTGCGTCGTGAAGTGAAGGTCGAATATTTTGTCCCTACTCCTCGGTCTATTGGTGTTCACGAGTCGCCGCTGTGATAATGAGTTGTCGTGGTCCCGCTCGCTCTGCAGGCGCGGCGCGCGCGAAGAGAGGGACGGACGGTAGTGTGCGCGTGCGTCGGAGCCTCCGCCGGTGTCGGCGCGGCCTGCCCTCATCAGTCTCCCCGCAACTTGGAAGCGGTTCGCGTGTGCAACTCCGCGTCGGCTCAGGCTGCGGGTTGCGAGTGCTCTGCGTCGCACACGAATATTTTTAGATAACAGCACGAATAATTTATTCGCAAGGTAGTGATCGCGCGCACTTTTGCGGATATCGGTATCGGCGCATGCGGGCTCGCTTGCTGCGCTGAGCGGTGGACGGCGGTGTCGGACCAGACCGCCGCCGGCGGAGATGTCCCGTCGACGACCCGTCCCGTAGGTAAGCTGCGCACTTCCTGCGCGCGCGCCGCCATGTTCGGTCGGAGCGTCACTTCCGCCGGGGCCGGAACCAGTGCGCGGCCGAGGCAAGCTGTGGGCCCTTCGGTGGTGGTGCTGCTTGCCCGCTCCGTCGGCCCCTCAACCGCGAGCGCCCAACTCAATGGGTGACGGCTCTCGATTCATAAAATGTCGGTCGTTCCATTCACGCCGCGTTGCGATGTTACGCCGTCCGTTCACTCGTGACCCTCGCGTCTTCGAATATTCATGTCTCCCTCGATAACATCGTAACCTCTGACTTCTTTTTGTATTATCACGTTGTTTAGTGAACGCCGCTAGTTGAGGCCGGACTTCGTGCGATGTGTTTGAAACAAGTGTCCGTTTAATCGTTATACCATAATCAGTTGTGAAATTTAGTGCATAGTGAATTTATTTAGTGAGTTACCGTCAGTATCAATGGAATGTTACACCCAGTAGCGTAAGATTAGAAATATATGTTTGCCTTTTCTATTTTAACATATCTTAGTTATTTACAATATTGTTGTAACTGATAATTAAGCGAAACGGTACATATTTTGATGACTTATTATTTTTATTTTAAATGAGGGTAGCCAGCTGTAAAAGCCTTTCGTCAAAAAATTGTGGTACTACTGTACATGGAAAAGTTGACTTATGAAATTATTAGTTTATGAGTGCCTTAAATTTTGCGTATATTTGTATTTAATTGAAGTGATATGTAATTAGCTAATAAGAAATTTGAATTTGAATAAGTGTGGTGTTCAGCGACAGCACGTTGTCGACAGGACGTACGTCACCAGAGCATGACGTCTGGCTGCGGTCCCGCTCGCACACTCACCCCGCTCTCCTCCACTTCTACTTAACCCCTGCCTGTTCATTGCCCTCCGTTACTTGCTCTGCCCTACCCCCATTATTTAGATTTACTGTACTCTGCATTCTACCACAAGCGTTGGGGTTTAAATATTAGATATCTCTATGCCATTCGATCTTGTAGTTATAACCATCTTCTTATCTGGTCATTCTGACACAAGTATATATTCTTCAAAATATTAATATAATATGTATGTATATCGTTTTAACAGAGTTAATTTCTAGCTCAAATAATAATTAATGACACAAAATAATATTTGTGTCGTCAAGACCTTTAAAGTTATAAATTACGCTGGATAATGTGGTGATGAATGAAAATATTAAAATTTCATCATGAATAAATTGGGAACTGTTAAAACTTATTTATTGTAAATTATAACATATTTTTGATCTTAAAATAAAATATGTCTAATAAGCTAACTTAAAAAATTGGTTAGCCATCTCATCATCATCATTAAAATATAATATCTATCTAAAAAAAAATCGTCCATTCGCTCAACCGCGCGAAATTTGCACAGAAAGCCGTGAGTTCATTATAGTATAGCAGTGTCTTTCCCAGATCACTATGAGTATGTGATGAGTCAGGTACATGTGACGTCAACGACACGTGTGCCCTCGTCCACGGCTGACTCACAGCATCTTTCGGTGACGTAGTACCCAACACATATGACGCCCTTCGGTCCTCTCACCTTTGCTCTCATTTTATCGCGCATTGATTACATAGTTCCGGCGCGCATTTTATACCGGGTAGTCTCCAAAACACGTACACGAGTATCACTTCGAAGGCTACGCCTACAGGCTGAGCTGTATGCGGTGCGCCTTCGCTTCCGGCGGCGCAGGCGGGTCCACTGGCGTGGGCGCACGTTTCATAAGCATTTCCTTCGTCAAGCTTCCTCCCGTCGAGGACGTCCACCCGATACATTTTATATAACGATGGATAGGTGCGGGTTTTTAAATATCAACGCCAAAAAACTATGCTGCTATTGGAGTGTGGATATTACACTGCTAAGTCAGTGATTCTTTATTCCATAGCTTCAAATACGACCGTTCCTTAGCTCAACAATTCCTTTGAATTTGAACATTTGAATCTCTCACATTTCCGCTCGACCACATCGCTACTCGCCAGACTGCCTCGGATAATAAGATACATCGCTTCTCACTCTACCATCATTTTAGCCCTACAATAAGCCATTAAGGGTCGCTCAACAAAAAAAAAAGTTTAGAAAGGATGTAAAGACTGCACCGGCGCCGAACCTTCCCAGAACTGGGGGCCATTCTTATTTCGCGCTCCCGCCTTATTCACGAACTTTTTTCATATATATGGCTTTGGCCTTTTTTTTCACGGGAGTGGTCCTCCTGTGTAATTTTCAAGGAAATGGTGTGTTGGGTTTTGTATAGAATGGGGCTTATCTCGGGGCGTCGATCGAGCGCGCGGCGGAGCCTGGGAACGCCGGGCAGACGTTGCGCGCACCGTTATGCGGCTAGCGCGTCGCATACCGCATACCTACCAGCCGCGCCGCCTGCCCCGCTCCACACACCCGCCACATGACATCATCAACATCACTGTTTGTGACGTACATATTCGGTTCTGACATTTCCCACTTTAGTTCGATCATAAACATATAAATTAAATAGGCAATAAAAAGCGTGACACTCAATTCGAAATTAGATGGCACGGCGAAGGAATTTCAGTAAACAAAAAAATTATTCTGTAAATAATGGCAGCAGGTTTAAAAGCGTGTTACGGCGGATATGATGACGATATAAATAAATAGAGTGGTCATACCAACAGCGAAAATTAGTAGACTTTAGTATTTCTAGTGGTACTTCATACTCCAATCGTCAAGAAATGTTTAGGAATCTGTCACTAAGGTTCCGTCTCAGTTATATTGATATTAATACAGTTAAGGTTTAATTGACGATGGCAAATATATATTAATCTTAAAAAAGCGTTGCAGAATTTATATTAATAATAATAAAGTATTTATTGGCTGACGCATTTTACTTTTTATTTAAATTATCTAACCATGTAGCAAAAGACCATTAGCTGGACATAAGTACCCCTTAGGTGCTGAACGAAATTTCCCACAGATTGTAATTGTCGAATAAGCGCGTTGGAAAGACAATCGTTATTTTCTTGAGATATAAACACGCGTTTATATACACATAATAATATTTTACTCATTGTTTTGCACAAGAAGTTTATTTATTACATTGGTGTTTTTGCATTTCCAGTTACTTGTGGCGAAAGAAGAATGTTGCAAGAGTGACTAGTTCAAACGTGGTGGTACACATCTGCGACACCACGCGCGCATTTGGTGACCACTTCTCCTACCAATCGACAATCGAGAAGGTACGTACAAGTGTTATATATTATAAATCCAATTAGTTTCATTTAGATTTTCAGTCATTTCTACCTTAAAGTGATTTATACTATTTACTACTTAATACGTTAAAAGATTTATCATTTCTTTCTTACTTAATATATATTATAAATATTCACTTTTAAAAACTAATTAATTAAAAAACTCCTACTTTCTAGTTTAATTGGTACATACCACGTTCTCTTATTGCTACTCTACTTATGACAGCTCCTTTAAACTCGAAAAATATCTATATCTTTAAATATTCTAATTAAGTTTTAAATATTTTAATTAAGTTAGTTTGTAAAAAAGATAGCTGTGATATAACTTAACTAATTGAAATCTGGCTGGTTTGCTTTTTGTTTGTTATACACTAGATTGCTATACACGCTTTGTTATACACATTTGCTAGCGCGCACATTTCATCATGTCATCGTAACTAGTTGAACAACACCGGGACGCAATACAATGCAAATGAACAAGTATTTATTTTCATATATTTTTCGTTTGTAGAACGTAGACTTATGTAATGTAAAAAGCGTCATTCTATAACCAGCACACTCTTCAGCATTCAACATCAATTATAATGCAGTTTTGAAGACTATTGAAAGAAATAGTATACAAATGGACCTATTAAAGTATTAACTATTTTGCTCTCTTAATTTACCACTACCCATAACAAATAATTGCAAGAGATCCTTATAAGTAGCGTGTAATGTCATAGTCAATGGATTATCAAATATAAAAATGCACTAATCATAGACAAAGGTACATCCAAACTTAGATATATTTTGTGATCTACACAAAAATAAATACTATCTCTATGAAAGATGATGGTCCTATGGATGGATGGAAGCCACAATACTTTGCAAGTATTATAGGCAAGCTATCTTATACTTTTGCCATTTATGCCATCATTCTAAATCGCTAAATTAATCGCCATAAAATCATGCTACCTTGGCCTGAAAAACTTGTATAATGAAATTTAGTCAAGACCCCTTGTAATAGTATTATTTGAGTTTGTCGAAAATCACCTACTAGGTTCTACTTCACTAGTGCCATTTAATATAACATACTGTAAGGATTCTTATGGTATACGCCGTTATTTAGAAGTGTAAGGTTTGCGCAGGTCACGGGCCGTTATTGAGGGCAAAGGGAAGTTATAAATCTGTCGGGCGGTAACAATGGCGCGATAACATGCACCTTGCGCCCGCGCCGATAGTGACACCCCGCTCCCTCCGCCCCAGATCCCGCCCGTGACACCCTCTAATACACTAAAACATTATCAACCATAAAAATAGAATTACGGAGAAGACAGTATCACGACAGTAGTACGTTATCACTTTAAGTTCTCTGTCCCTTTTAATCTATTTTAGTGAGGAAAAACGACCAATCATATTACTGTCTCTATTAAACCTCCTGTATTGTCTGAAAAAGCTTGTAACATCAGTGGTATCAATCACAGATTCCTGATCCGACTCTGAGTACCACTGAAAAAAGCTGTCGCAGCAAATACAAAAGTGTTGTTTAACTACCGTTACACTTGACAACTTATTTAACGCTATATAAGTATTCCGTGCCATCTGTGGATGGGCAACGGAACTAAATCAAACTTCTTATAATATCAACTAATCTTGGTTTTGTCAATGAATATTAGTCTAATGATCACCTGCCCTTTAGATGTAGTACGGACCCTGACATCGGTAATCCTCCTTATTTAGAATAACGTGTAACAAACATACTTTGCCTATGAATGTCTGAAAAACTACTCTCCCCTTATGGGGATTTGTCGTTAATACTGTTTTATTTTAAATTGTATCATCAATTACATTTGAAATACATCACTGGTCCAGCAACTCCTAGAACATAAAGATTAGAATGCAGGAATACCATCGCATACTGTCATAATGTCAGCAGCCAGTGTAAGAGCATAGCAATGGTAACTAGAAAGGATAACCAGCAGCAGCTGAATTACTTTCGTCCTCTACTTTAGCGTTACAGTAACTTATTCTGCCTTCTTCCTACGAGCTCTTAGCTAGCATATTAAACATTTTATTTTATGTATTTCAAAAAATATGCTTATCGAATATGATTGTAATAGACCTGGAAAGTATTCCCACTTAGAGGAGATTAACCTTATGGTTAATCTCCTCTAAGTGGGAATACTCCTATTTCCGAAATCTTCGCGACCCTACTCAGGGTTATCCCTGAGTAGGGTCGCGAAGATTTCGGAAATAGGATTTGAAAAAGGTGAAATTCACAAACCGAGTAATTCACATTTAAAAATTCAACAAAATTAAACCTCAATCAAAGCTTGAGTGAAATTTGTTAAAATTAGATTCACCTCCTTTTTTATCCACCACCCTGAATTTTGTAAGAATGAAGTATCATTTTCACAGTTCTTTAAGTACCTACTTACGAAAGCCTTAATAAATCCAACGTACAATACTCGTCTAATACAGTCAGAGAAGCCCCGAGACTATCCCGTCACTCAGTAGATATTTAGCAACACATTTTGGCTAATAGGTTAGGTGACGATAATGACCGGAGTAAGGGGGAAAGAGAGGTCGACGTAGCGCAAACCTTATCGGTCATTGACCTTCACACCTAAACTGAGCCTCACATCACATCTCGCTGCGTCGCGTTTACATGTGCTTAAATAAATTTTCAGGGACCATCGCGCAATACATTCCAACGTTTTATATTGTATTATTTACGTTGTGGATCTACTTCCGTCGGCCGAGTTGTATTCAGTTGGTGGGACGCTCGTTAATTCAGTAAATTCAGTTAACATCTATGTTTATTTTCGGTGTCTTCCATTGTTGGCTGACGGTTACATAAAATTTGTGAAGTGTGCTATTTAATCCGACATAATGCGATGTTGATAGTAGATAAAGTAGGTAGGTAGCGGTCTGGACGTCAGGTAGGCGCCGCCAAGGCCTTGACCTCTTTACCCGTTGCGCAGGCGACGCGCCGCGCACAATAGACTATTCCGCGACATCGGAGTCGACATCCGACAACCACCCCCCCGGAAGCCGCATTTACAACTACATACTCGGTCCATCGTGCTAAATACCTTTTAGCTTACCATGTATTGCTCTCAAAACTAACATAATTCATAATCAAGTTCTTTCAAATTAAACATCACTTACACGTTTTAGGTGTTTGTATTCTATTTTTCTTAACATTTTGTTAAACCACTATAGTCTAAACAAAGACCGGACGCTGGCAATATTAGATATGTCAATCTTGGCCGGCTGGTTTCCGCCAGTTACCTACATAACAACGCATAAATGTTAAGGCTACTCTAAGCACAGTATTAAGCTTAATTAGGTTAACATGGGAAAACAAATCACCTCTGAAAATATGCCAGATATAAGTCCGCTAAAATCAATAAACAACAAACAAATAATTTACACAATAAATGTAAGTAATGTGAGTTCAACATGGGTGTTTACCGAGTTATTGGTTTGTAAAACATTTTGTGTCGCAATGCAACAAGTTATTGACTTTAACTATAATCGAAATAATCGTGACACTGTAAAGTCGGTCATGATAGTATGTAATTAGAGACGTCTGGTACACGGGGCTCGGCGAGGCTAACAAAATTCGGGGGGCGGCGCGGGTCGCGGCCGGCGCTTGTTGAATAATACATGGTCGCGCCTGGCGCCAACGCGGCACCTCGTCGCACGCGCGCCGCTCGAACAATACACAGAATCTAGGTCCTAGACGCACGTCTCACACTCTACTGATAGCCTGAAAACGCACACACGACCGTGCAATACGTCACGCCGACGAACGTGCTGGCTTATACACAATTTTTCTATGTAATCGACACTTATGAAATCGCTTACAACTTGACATTCTTACATGTTAACATGAAACAAACAATTGCCGGTAAATTAAACTATAAATTGGATATTTTTTTTGTAAATGATACTTCTATGGTTATATGATCTGCCGCAAGAATGTCTATTCTGTGAAAATAAATTCTGTGAACGAGTACGCAATCACTGAGAATGCGAAGCGACTGCAACGTGCTGCGTGTTGTGAAAACATTTTGTATTATTTGCTATTTTACAGACTCAAACACTAAGAAACTAGGACGAAATTTCTGAAACATTAGTACATATCGTATAACAACATTGCTAAATATGTAGTTCCATTACCAAAGAATTTCACGAAAAATGTTGACGGTTACTTTTTAATATATTTTACAAAGGCAAATACAAATTTAAAAAAAAATATTTTCAAAATACATCACTTAGAGTACGTAACGTTGTTTCTTATCTTGATCAACTAAATAAAACACAACAGAACTTTCTTAGATATTTTCGAATGAACATAGCATTTAGTATCTCTTGTGTTTTGTGAAATTAAGCAAAGGTCTAAAATATGATAAGTTGTCTAATAAGTGGTTAAAAACTATTAAAAAAACACAAAATGACGTCCAAAAAGATCTAAAGGCTATTAAAATGTTTACTATAATTGTTTCTGAATGTTGACGTGTCGTAGCACTTTCGTAGCACTTTCGTAGCACGCCATAAAATGTGATCGCCTGATCGGTATCTTTTAAACCGTTTCCCACGAGGAATCTTTTGAGTAATTATTTAACAGCTCCAAAAATCATGTCATATTTACATCGAATGCGTGGTCGTGATGAACAGTTTAAAATTGTAAAATGTTGGGACTTAATTACGGAGTATTAATATGCGGGCCGCGGCGCTGGCCGCACGTAGGAGTTATTAGCTAGAGAAGCCATGTCCACGCCTCGCGTCTCCGCCGACTCAACGTTGAAGTGGAACAAAACACTCCCGTATGTACACAACAACATGAAAATCGTGAAATGTTCGTCGTGAAAATGACACGCGACCTAGCTGTTTAATTGTCTATTAATACTAATTGTCCTTCAATTTCCACTCGCCTGTGAGACAAGCGCACTTACAATACTTGTGATGTCATTTTATGATACGTATACGTATATGCAGACAAATTAATAGTTCATTTGATGGCGATGCGCGCCCTCCCTACCTCAATTCCCATTGTGGAATTATGGGATCTCTGCTCTCTACACAATTTCGCACTCGCACAGACTTTATTTCTTCTTGTTTAAACTATAAATAAAAATGGCTTTTAGAAAGCTTTACCACTGTAAGGAGGATGATTTTAAAGAAACACTGCCGCCGCATTAATTGGATTTGGTCTAGTATTCCCGAATAATAAATAAATACTTTTTCAAATTTCGAATTTAATTATTTATTATTTCATAGATTACTTTGCTAGTGGTAACCATAGATACAGTTTTCTTCCATACCAATAACTATAGGAACACAATAAACAAAACTTTTTAAAATATTGCTCAGTAACCTTAAACCTATTATTGAGCTTAATAATTAATATCGGCATCTAAATAGCATAATTTAGATGCTGATATTAATTATTAAGCTCAATAATATTTTTTTATTATTCATGCGAGTTCAACTTATAATTCCTGTTTGTGTATATTACATATACTATTTATTAAATATGATGATTTTACTTTTACCCGACGTTTTGAAAGGCATTGTCTTGAGTCTGAATGTGCTTTGTTGCCGTAAATTGTATAAATAAAGCGTACGCAAATCCATGATTACCTATTGCGAGAATTAATCTCAAAAATTATACCAAAAAATAGATGATGTTAGGGAAACTCAGGTTTGTAACTTCATATAAACTTCCGCCATCAAAGATTTTATCAAAAAATCTGTATTACTTACTAACTCTATCAAAGAATTCGCTGAGCGCAATATCTTTAAACATATCATAAACCAATATAGTTAACCTGAATACATAAATATATAAAATATTACCCCGCTATAAATCAAGAAAAAACAATACTTTCAGTAATTCTTGGTTTGCGGGTACACTAATAAAATACACTTTAAGATACAGTTACATTGAAAAAATATTAAGGTTTTAAAAGCTTTTTTTTCTACCTCGAAGTGTATCGCTAGATGAAGAAGTAAAGCACACGAAGAAGTTATACGCAGCGCATGTTAACGAGGCAAGAGGCGAGCATAGTTATTAAAGCACATTGAAGTAATTGAAGAAGTACGTAGTAATGAGTTTCTGATGCTACGTGCACACCCGTTGTATTTCGGTAATTGCCCCAAGATGTTATCGCACCCTACTTATTAATTATGAGCTACAATGCCGCGCATTTATTGACCTTATCTCCGGTGGGCCCTTGCGCTTTCTTTACCTACTTATTCGTTAATGAGCGAATGCGCAACACCGGAACGGAGACCGCTGGGAACCGCCGCCAAACCATCGCGGTACCGCGCATCACCGACTCGCGCCCTTCACACTAACTGCCAAACGCTTGTTCTGAAACTTTGGCGCTGTAATAACTCGATTTCATGAAAACAACGATATTCATACATATATACATATAGGCAGTTAGCTAGAACTGTTGATCGTGAGCTAAAGAATGAACGTTGCCTTTTCTGGTACCGTCATAAGGAACATGCCACTGTGTCTCGTGTAAAATTATTTAATAAATATGATCTTACGATGACATTGAATTGTATTTTAGGTCGCTCACCCTCTCTTAATGTCATTAAAGCAGTTTAAGTCAAATAACGAGGAGAGAGTTCCGCGGGGCGCTCGAGCACTACATGCGGGTAGAGGGATCGAGTCCGAAATAAGTTGATTACATCACGCTCTCCACGAACACCGACGTATGCCCTGTGCCGGTTATAAATAGACTAAGCGGCGGTCCCTTAAGACGCGGGTGCACATTTCCGGGCTGGAAGTGTGTCGCTTCCGCTGCGAGCGGTCGTTGACGCCCGTGCATTGTCGCTGGCACATTCCCCGCCGCCGACGGCGTCGCCGACGACGTTTTTAAATAGAGGAACGATTACAAGCGTCTGGCTGCGGCGCCGGGCACATGACCGCGCGAAAGTGCAGCGCCCGCCGCGTCACGGGCTATTTGCGACACACCGCCCTCGTCCACCGTTCGCCTCCGCTCATGCTGTCCGCGCACCTCCGCGAAACACGCTTTACGCCTGAGCTCCAACGTAGGTCAACCGTGACATATTTTACCCACTTTTTCAAAACATTACATTCATGTGTATATAAATTAACTCCAACAAGCATTTTTTTAAATCTTGCTAAACTAAAAGATGCGTTGAAGTCTTTTGTTAGAATACCTAAATTTCCCTACCTATAAAAATGTTTATTATTTACTTATCAGATAAAGTATAACAACCTAAACATTGCTTATAAGCGTTTTGCGTTGATGAATCACGGAACCACTTGTGTTATACCTAGTTATCAACGTGCCAGATTGATGACGTCGTCCTCGAATAAATAGTCAAAATACATCCGTTCCATAAATATGTTAGTTACCGGGGTGACAAGCAGATGGCACGAAGGGCATAAGGTGATAGGTAGCAGTCCAGGTGCAGGCAGAGTCGGGTAGCGCACAGCGACGGCGCGGCGGGTCGCGGCAGAATAAATTCGGAGGGAGGCGCGTTGGAATGCGGGAGGCGGCGCGGCGCGGGCGGGGGGCGCCGTGCGACTGGCGCGCGCGCCGCTGTCCCACGGTCGCGCGTCCCCGCGCCCCGCTCCCCGGCCACTTTCTTTCGCGCCATAAAGGTCGTTTCAAATATTTCGGAATGCAGTTTGGTGACATTTCACCAGCGGGCAGCGGGGGAGAGGAATGCAGCCTCCGGCATTCGTCCGCACGCCTCGCTCGCCGCCGGAGCACCGCGCTCTACACCGCATGCCGCCGCGCTGCCTAGCGGGTTCCGGTCTTCATAAACTAATACGCAACATTCTTGCACATGTCACGCAAACTTTGCCATACAACACTACTTTGACTTAACCCATTTTCAGAGTAATTAATAAATATATTTATAACGAAATAAAAATTCTTACGTAAACTGACGCTGAGCACGTTTTACCACGGTGGGGCCATGTAGTTAATTAAGCTTAGGAATGTAGGAATTGAGAAAATTTATGATGCCGTCCCATATATTCATATATCATTTGAGCATGACTGAAGTATGAAGTACCGTATCTAACTTAAATTTTTATGATAACTGTTCAAAAAGGGCGTTTGCGTGTCGCTTTACCTCTTTGTGACTCTATAGCTAAAGCTCATTGGTCTACTTTCCACGCTCATGTGTGAACTGAGTTTCTCCAATTAATAGATTCGTTCCAATAGCAAACAGCGAGTCGGAGAAAGCAGTGGCGGTATGGGTCAACGTCCGGCGGAATTCACACCGGCCGACCGCCGTGACGTTAACGAAGAAATGTGGCGTAACGCTCTAAAATTTCAAAAACCGTGCTCGTTTGCTCATTCCAGGAAAGCGAGGGAGGAAGTCGAGGGACGAAACGCCAAACGACCGCAATACTGACGCAAAGGAACGCTCGCGACCGACGCTCGGCGCTTGCTCGACAAGCTGTGTTTATCAAGTCGCACGTTGCTATGAATGGAATGCGGCGACGGAGGTTGCGCAAGTGACTAGCTTCGCGGCGTTCGAAGCTCGGCGGAATGCGCACAGGGCGCGGGGCGCGGGCTGAAGCCGGCGCAGCGCAGCCTCCGCTGCATCTCGCGGCCATTCAGGCCGCGCCCGGCACCCGCCCGGCGAAATAACTCACCGTTAGACCCGCGGAATGCTCGCTCTATCTCTATACCTTCCACCGCCGCCCCGCGCCGCCGGCCACCGCACACGGCGCCACACTATAACCACCGATATCCCCGCTGACTATACTTTACGACTGTACAACATTCTTACTTGTCAGCCGTGAACGGATACATTGCGGACTTGTCACTGATTGTTGTCCTAGTTATATCATCATCTTTTTACTAAGGATTCAACTTAAATATAAAGGTTTTTTATATAGAACTAATCAAATAGATAACTATTCTTACATATATATTTTTTAACCCTTTGCTTGACGTTGACGTTCCGATGATGTTTTTATTCATCTTGCGTGTCACGATTATTAGATAAATAGAAATGGTATGGTAAATAATAACTACTCTACGAAACGTCTATATACTCTACGAAACGTCTACGCGTTTAGGTTTAAGCTATTCTAATATGTATCATTTGACATAGCTCGATATACTCAATAAACATACTTGTATACTTTTGATTAATCCACATACATATATATTACCTTTTCGATGTGACAAATATGTGTATTGAATCGTGCGACTTTTATAGTATGTGGCCGTGGCAGGCATGCCATAAATGACAATGTTTTGCATAGCTCCACTTGCAGACTGAGCGCTGAACTGCATTCTATAACTGTGAAGTAGACAGAACACTGGTAGGTGTTGTGGAGGCGCCGCGGCCGATGGCGCGGTGCGGGCGCGCACTATCAATAGTCGGCGCGTCACCCGCCCTACATACTTGTCGCGACGTCCGCCGCCGCAGCCGGGACCACGTTTCATCACCTCATGCGCTAAATTCCATTTTTAAGTCCATTGTTTCTCGTCTGCGACGTCGGACGACTCCCGCTCGCTGCCGCTCTCCGCCACATGACGTAACTACACTTCTCATCGTCCCACACCGAATCATTCGATACGACAATGTTACGCCACAGAGCTGATGTTTATTATTCACACGATCCAATTCTGCCAAAAACGTTATATAGTTTCGTTCGTACGCATCACATTCTTATTAGGGCGCCTCGGTCATAACACTTTAGGCGCTGTAACTGATCTTTTGTACCTACTCTTATTTATTATATTGTTTTTTCATATCTCTCCCCTTGCATTGGCATAAATTCCTAAACCCCACACTGGCGCAGATAAAAAACATATATAAAGACGGTAGATTCGTCATTATCAGAAGTGTAAACACACTTAGCGATAAAAAGTAACACATTTGCGCTATTTCCCATAGTTGTCAGCAATTAGAGCAGCGTTGTGGGTGCGGGTATGTGTGTGTATGTGAGGTGGGGGAGGGAGGAGGGGGGAACGGTGACACGTGTGGCCCACATAGTGCGCGTCGATTGAGCTCCCGCGCCACCATACCGGATGTGATGTAAGTCACTCTGCACACCTGCGACGCGCCATCGCTACTACTACCCACCACGAGGATCAGGATTGAACTTCGTAACACCACTTCGAGTTTTCTGTAATACTACAGTTACAATTAAATGAATACCATTAACATTAAAAATTTGCTGATATCTTCAGTATCAGATCATTTTAACAATCTCCTACATTTAAAGTGCAAATCTTATGTCCATTAGGACACAAAAGATCGGAAAATTGTTTGTGTTATTTTTTCGTATCAAAGTTGAGTTTCATCATCATCATCACATCAACAGCCTTTACTAGTCCACTGCTGGACATAGGCCTCTCCTTAGAAAGGAGGTTATGGCTTACTATACCACGCTGGCCAGACGGGTTGGTATAGGGTTTGTGTCAAGTTTTCCTTCTTTTTGCCGTGCTGGTGTCCTGCGTTGTTTTGCGCCCTTAGTCGGTTCTTACGACACCCACGGGATGAATTGGGGTAGTGACATTCCGTATTCTTAATCCGTCACTACACGGACTGTAAGTTGAGTTGTTGTTGAAAGTTGAGTTTACCCTAGTTAAAATATCTGGAAATATATGTTGGAGATTTATATATGTCATTACTTAGACATATAAGTCACAATTATCAGTATCAATAAATTGGCGAAGTAACTGTAGTGGCGCCGTGCCTCCCGCGCAGTTGGCCTAACAAGGCCACCGCCGATATCCGCACCATTTGTGGCCACCAGCGCACTCACACTGCTTCGCCTAATTAGTGGTGACTTGGTGTGGGTGAGCATTGCTTTGCCGTCCTCCGCCTTTGTTCGTTACTATTTAAGTCAATTCACTTCTATCACACAAAAGTAATATCACACTCCATACTGGTAAAGTACGGTACTCGGCCTCTAAAATCGACCTTTCCGCGATATCTAGATCAAGCTAGAATCCCATCATTGATACCCAAGCGAGCATTAACAGAGTACTTTTATATATTACAGATGTCAAACTACAATTAGCCAAGGAAAGAGGCATTGTAGTCATTGCGCGAGTTGGTTGCCTGAGTCAGCATGATGTCATACGGCACGCGGTGATGCGGCTAATGGGAGCGTCCCGGCGCGCGCGCACGTCACATCCCATTCCCGGCGCATACTTCACCCAATCGAGCGATGACAAATTCTTCCATTACTGCTAACCATTTTGTTAAACATTGAATTCTTGCAATTCCAGATTAATTAAACTCTATCAGGAACGAGCAGCTCGCACGTGGACGCTTTAGTCGTTTGCGGTTTTCCTCTGCTGTTCTAATTTACCTCAATTTTAGGTAAGCCAACATGTTTAATATTTATCAAAAGTTTTTCCTCTAAATATTCATGTTCCTGAATCTGAAAACCCAAAGAAATTTAAAGAAGAGAACAAGAAGAACGCATAAAAGGTATTACGAAACTGGTTTTCATAATGATTTGACAGATTGTTCTAAATTCTGAGATCATTGTGAAAGCTGATTTTGTTCCGAAATCAACGTGTTGCCGAAATTCAGCCATAACGCTAAATCCTGAAGAACAAGAAGAATGAAGAGAAGAAGAGTTAATTTGTTATTTGTATCGACATTGTGTGAATATCTAAGTTTTTCACTTTTAATGCATGATAGGTATGTGTGTATTTAGTGACATCGCGTGCAGCTGCTTTATTAGTCACGAGCAAGCAATATTGCTTACTGCCTAATTGAGTCGATACTGTGACTACTGTGTTTCCTAAGTAATTCTTTTAATTTTCTTTCATACTCGGCACAGGAGGAATATTAGCTAACTTTCACCCAGAAAGTTAGTGCTGTTTTCCGAGGATGACTGAATTTGTTAACAGATCTACGTCGTAATGTGGATTTGTTAATCCATTCATGATAATTGCCAATTGATAATCTAAAATATTTTCCTAATTACTAAGTCAAAGAGAAAGCACCAACTTATTTCCCATTTTTGTCAGTTAAAGTCAAATATCACATCAATATTATAAATTATAGTTAAGTGTAAATCCAAAATTTAGAAAACCTTAACCATAATGTGTATATACTAAAGTTCAATTCTCGTAATAAAATGTCGTTCAATTTCAGTTCCGATATGTCATAAAAGGTATTTTCGTAGTAAAGTATTATTACGACTAGTAGAATACTGTTTCGGCGTTCGATCAAATTAAGATATAATCACATTACAGTCAATGTTGGATGTTTAGTACTTTACTTCAAAAATACTTTTCTAGATATTTGTGAAAACGAGTAGATCGGAACTGAATTTTGAACGAAATGACGAAAATACACCTTCTGAACTAATATAGAAAAAAATAGAATTTGTATGTATGTCGGTGGGGTGACAGATTAAGAATGCGGAGTGTCACCACCCCTATTCATCCCGTGGGTGTCGTAAGACCCGACTAAGGGAGCAAAACTTAGCTGGACAACAGCACTGCAAAGAGAAAAAAAATCTTGAAACAAACCCTATATCAATCCGTCAAAACCTCCTTTCTAAGGAGAGGCCTACGTCCAGCAGTGGACTATTAAAGACTGTTGATAATGATGATTTACATTTAGATACTTTTGTATATGTATATAGTAGATATATTATGTAGATGTTTTACACACTATCACTAACTTTGTTAATCCTAACTACACTTAAAACGGTCTCAATTTGCTCCAACTTTTGGCTTACCTCAAATATAAAGGTATACTATAGATGGTACCCGCGACTTCGTTCACGTGGAAAAGCGCTGCCTAAGTGGGTTCGATTCCCGGACCGGAAAAGGTTTTTTCTGGGAGAAAAATAGTCTAAGTTACTCCTTACATAGACAGCTACCTGGTAGTAAAATATTTTCAAAATCGGTCCAGCCGTTTAGAAGATTACCCGTAACAAACACAGACAAACAAACAAAAAAAAACTGGTTTTTAGGCATAGTTATCTTGCAAATAACCGTATGAGCATGAAAAAAGCTATTAGTTTGACATTACAAAAGACACTTCAATTTTATTTATTTGTATTGAAGGTAGTAGCTTAAGTAAGTAATAATAATAGTATCCTCTCACACGGCCGTCTGATCTCAAACTTGTCAGAGCCTGTGCTATGGTAACCAGCCTGCTGATAAACATACATATATATTTCTAAAAACATACATTTTATAGACAAATAACACTCAGACACAGAGGAGCATATAATCGTGTTCATTATACAATTATTCGTCTTGGGTAGGAATCGAATCCATAACGAATAATAACAACCTAGTAATCAGGATCACCAGACCAAGAGATCCATTGATATTTTTACCAAAGTCCTTATGATCATTGTTTATTATAATCACAAGGTCCACTTTAAAACACCGACTGCCAATTTTCTTAATGTATGTGAGGTTTTTTAAATTCAAACAAGTTTCAGCCCAGGTTTCAGCTTATCATCCCTTAGTTGTTAGTTAGCACGATTCGCACTTTAGTTTACAATGTAGTTACTTTCCAAAAAGAGTTTTAAAAAAGGGGGTTATCCATTCGACACTTCAAGCTACTTTGGAAGTTACATCCATGTTAAGACGCACTAGTACGGTAAGCACAGAATATAAAGGTAAATTTGGGTGCCCACTTGCAGTGTAGAGACATACAGGCTGCGCACCCCTATTACAAGACCCTGACGACCCATGTATTGACCAACTTTTCGCTTAAAATATACTCACTCTGTCTGTGTTGTAGTCTTTTTTTAAAGAGTTAAAATTTTGTTAAAAACAAATTTTACCTTTGTAAAGGCTACATGATTTAATAATATATTCCTAAGCAGCCTTTATATGTAGATAGACTATTCGCTAAAGCGAGAATTCACTTCTTAATACTTATCTAAAGATTAAAGCTTAATAAACTTTTTATAAAATGACTTTTACCCAAAATAAAAGTTCCATGATTATTGTTTCACTTATTAATCGTAGTTTTCGTCGCTAACGTCACAAACAAGTGACAGATAAATATTACTTAAAGCACGCGGACTTATTTCAAATTTATTGAAGAGCATCTCAAAGCAGATTTTTGTAGAGGTTTTTTTTCGTAAACTATTTCCATTACCTGCAATGTACTTACATAATAGCGAGGTGCCGTTTTACAAACGGTTTCTTTTCCGATTACCGATTCCCCCATTCCTATATTTTACAAGACAGTAATTCACTTGAATCAACTGTCCTAGAGAACCAGTCAGGCCGTATCACTATACTTGTTGACTCGGCTATTAATTTTTGACGGGCCTGTTGGTCCAGTAGTTAGTGACCCTGAGTGCTCAGCCACAGGTCGTGAGTTTGATTTCCACACAGTACAAATAATTGTGTTGAGCATGAGCATGATCATTTATTCTGTGTCTGGGTGTCATTTATTTATAATATGTATGAATTTAAGAATATATAACTATGTTTATCAA